CCAATAGGTCCGGTTGTTCTTGCGATGAGACGACCCTCCTGAACGACGAAGAATGGAAACAGGAGGCTGCTGTTGGCTGCTGTTCCGTTGCTTGCAAAGTCCTTGATAGGTTCGGTATAGGTCGAGCGCCATGTACCAAAGTAACAAGAGCGCCGCCGCACAAACCAAACCGGCTGTGATGGTTTCTCGAACGGTTTGAGTGATGATCAAGGGCATTCGAACAGGCAATCTGAAGAAGATGATGCCTGCTTGAATGAATTCTTGGTTGACAATGATGGTAGTGATGATGGTAGTGATGTAGTTGATAATAGTGTTGGTCATGGTGATGTTTGATGGAGTCGGTGTATTAGTTGGTATAAAGAATTTCATATTGGTAATTGTGAGGTGTGTGAAAACAACCGCTTGATGAGAGCGGTTATTGGAGATGCGAGACGACATGAGATGTTTTCGCGGAGTCTCCGCACACTTGACTCCTTCGAATCCATTTATCGGTGGTTCTTTTTAGAAACTTTGAGTACCCAGTTAGCGGATGTCGAATCCGAAAGTAAGTACAGCCAGATCTGTAGCTGCCAGACGCTATAAGATAAAAGTAAGCTCTACCACGTCCTTTACAAATCTATTGTCTCAGATAAAGATAGCAACAGCAACAGCATGAGAGGTGACAACACTACTACTGCAGAAGTCGCTCAGTTTTCCAAGCTTCTCTCAATAACAAAATGCCAGTGTAGTCTCGTCCTATTGACACAACGAGCTATAAGCATGCAATCGGCGATTTTATATCTCCCTCTCAAATGCTTTCATTTGGGTTATTGCAACCTCCGTCTTCTTGCAACCAATATTCCAATTTTTCAATTTTAAAAATCCACAATAGGTATATCCCGGTCGCATGGTGTATTGTGACTCAAGGGTTCAGTCGTTTGTAAAAGAAAGATCGGCATGATTCGTAGCATGTCATGGTGACAGTGGTCGCTGGCACAAAATGCAAGACTCGAGCTCCAGCTCCTCGAAACAAGCCCTGTATTCCTTCTCGTTGGAATACTTGAGAAAGACAGTCCCGCATACTTCGATATCGAACCATATTGATGGCTTCTGTACTAGAAGTAGAAGTCATGCTTGCAGCTGAACCCCGCTGTATTTGCAACCGAAGCTTTGCCATGTCCAAAGGAGAAGTAATGAAAGAAGCCAAAGCCCCTGCTGTGGCACTGCTGCCAACGATCCAAGGCATGGGCAAGTCGTCTCCCTTTTTCGATCCCGCAGAATTGATTTCGTTGGATTGATTGTTGTACTTCCTCGATCGACTCTTCAAGTCTTCGTAAAAGACGAAATATAATGCTGAAAATGGTCCAAAACTAGTCATTGTTGCACCGTAGCCCTTGTAGATCCCCGAAAGTCCTTCTTGTTTGCCAATTGTGACGAGAGCATCCCAACTCGATTTGTATGCAAGGCGATTGGTACTTCTAATACTGCTGCTACTAGAAGATTGCACTTGCATCCGCTCCTTGACCACGTCCACAGGAACATAAATGGTGCATGCAATTGCTTCGGCAAGCATGCCCGACGCAAGGTACACGGCAAAGCTATCTTGTTGACTGCTTCTTGTATTGTTCGAGGTAGTTGTCTCGCCATTCAGCACTTTGTTCAGTTGGTTCTTGATGATATCATAGCTGCAGTAGGTATATTTTAAAGAACGAAAGTAAAATAAAACATTGGGTGAGAGTTGCATAGCTTTGCTATTATATAGTGAAGCACTTTCCACCCAATGACAAACGCTAGTGGAACTGCACCACGGGAATAACAACAACAACAGCATTCCAGGCCAGCATAAGTCAAATCAAAATCCTACCTGCAAAGATAGAGTATCGTACCAGGCGTCCCACCCACCAACACAGCACCAAATCCTCGATACCAACTAGCCATGCCTTCGCTTCGAGCCATGGTTCGCAAAACACTATAGGTTCCGCTGGTTCCTCCTCGACATTTGGAAGATTGTGTTGGGCCATGACTTATTGGCAGAGCCTGCAGTCGTGCCTTGGCGGTATCCAACTGTGGGATTGATGATTGATTCATTAATTCGTCCAGAAAATGGCAAGAATGCAAATGTCAATGATTTGTGATTCTGGAATCATCGATTCAGTATTATATTTGTGTTCACAGCCATCATTCGTGTCCACTTACCGGATGTGTGAGACACCGGCTGAAAATTCCTGCCGCGGCAGATCCGAGGGCATTGGACTGAAGGTCAGTCTCTGGCATACCAGTATTTTGCCTGAAGTCAAGAAACCTGGCCGTATACTACCAGGTACAGTATGTTACAAGTATTATATTTTATAATACTGTATGTTGTCAAATATTTTATTGTCCACGCATTATATAATATATTGACTTATTTATTTTCAGTTTTTCAATTCTGCGGGATATGGTACGTCAGTCGTCGTCGTCGTCAGAAATCGCAGTCTCGACAAATAATCATTTTATATCTGCATAATATATAGTCCTTTTTACAATGATAACGACGGCGTCTCCTCCTTCCGATGCCAGAAGAGGGAGCCAAACGGACAATGTAGAGGATAATCAATACCATGGTGAACATTCCATAGACAATTTTGATGATGATGATGATGATGATGTTTCTGACAACCAAGTTGATGCAATTGCTCGTCGAAAGCAAGTCGACCGATACATGAGATTCCTGACCTTCATGGCGGCCATTGGCGGCTTTTTGTTTGGCTACGATACTGGTGTTGTTTCGGGTGCCATGTTGCCAATGAAGCGAGCCTTTCATCTTACGCCGGAGCAGCAAGAAGTTGTGGTTTCTTCCACTGTCTTTGCTGCGTTTGTCTCGTCTTTGTTTGGTGGGACAATGAACTACAAGTTTGGGCGACGGCTTTCCATTCTGTTTGCCGCTTTTGTTTTTACCCTTGGCTCTTTAATTCTATTTGTGGCGTGGGACTATTCGATTCTTGTTTTGGGAAGGATCATTCTGGGTATCGGCATTGGAGTGGCATCCTTGACAACTCCCATTTACATTGCAGAAGTGGCCTTACCAGAAATGAGAGGCCAACTAGTTACAATCAATACACTCATGATTACCTTTGGTCAGTTCTTTGCTGGTATGGTCGACGGTGTCTTTGATCAATTCTTTCCGACCACTGGCTGGAGGTTCATGCTGGGTTTGGCTGCCGTTCCGAGTATTGTCATGTTTTTTGGCTTTCTTGGTCTGCCCGAGTCGCCGCGTTGGCTGGCCAGCAAGGGAAAGGTGGATCAGGCAAAGCAAGTCTTATACATATTACGAGAAACGAATGAACAAGCCGATGAAGAACTCATGGATATTGTAAAGGCATTGCCTCACAAGACGATAGCCTCATCGGAATCATTGTCATCTTCTTCTTCTGGTCGTGGTCCCAATAATCATGGTGCTACGACGTCCTATGGCAGTGATGGCTTGGGGCACGAGGGTTTGCACGACGATGATAGAAGAATGATGTCATCACACCATGTGGAATATGAATCGTTTTGGATCCGCGTCTACAACATGTTGTCCCATGCTCCCACCCGAAAGGCCCTCTTTTTGGGTTGCGGACTCATGGCGGTCCAGCAATTTGCTGGCATTAATACGGTCATGTACTATGCTGCCAGCATTTATGAAATGTCGGGCTTTGGTGAATTGACTGCCGTGTGGTTGTCTGGCTTTACTGCCCTGGCTCAAGTGGCTGGGATTGCTACCAGTACTGTCTTGGTGGATAAGGTTGGGAGACGGACCTTGGTACTCACTTCGTTGGGCTTGGTCTCGCTCTCACTCACGGGATTGGCAACTTCCTTTTACCTCGCGCGCATATCGTCAGGATCCATTGACTTGCAACAGACGTCCTACCTTTGCCATAAGCAACCAGCGACCACTTGGGATGGCATTACGGCATACTGTTATGACTGCACGAGCATTCCTTCCTGTGGATACTGCAACGGAGCCTGCGTTCAAGGCAATGCAACCGGACCCTTTTCCTTTATGAATGGCAGCAATGTCATATCTGGTATTTGCCCCGCATCTCTAGAAGAAATGACAGGAACTGAGGCTAGTATCACAACTGCTTGGCAATTCGATACGTGTCACAATCCCTATGGATTATTGTCTGTCTTCTTCATGGTCATGTACCTATTCACCTTTGGAATTGGTATGGGAGCGATGCCATGGACCATCAACAGTGAAATTTATCCACTCAAGTACCGTTCTCTGGCGGTTTCCTTTTCGACAGCAACGAATTGGATTGGCAATCTGGTCGTCAGTGCGACCTTTTTGTCGATTAGCAGTCCAAAAGTTCTAAGAGCATACGGAGCTTTTGGCTTGTACGGTGGTATTGCTGTATTGGGATTTGTCTGGTTGTACTTTGCCTTGCCAGAAACGAAAGGACTGTCACTGGAACAAATTGAACGGCTCTTTCGGCACACGGCGGATGGTGGGTACGACGTTATGTCTTCAAATCATGCGGAACGACAATCACTCAAAACATGAATTGAAGAATATATATAAAGCAGAGACACCACCACCATCAACTGGATAAGTCTTTTGTAGTACCAATATATTCAGAATAGGAGATGAATCGTCTGAGGAAAGAAGACGCTATTGAAGAAAAAAATTCGTTGAGAAAAAATGGACCACTCAAGCCGGAATCCAATAGACTGCATGGGCTGTCATCTAATCGCATCGCATACACCTGCACTAGCTAGCTGCGATTTTAAAAATCAGATGGATGCCTAACTATACTTCAGTTCTAAAAGTCGGAGTAGCGCAATGTGTTTGTCAGTCGTAGAGCCAACGTTGTCACGCCAGTGTAAATGGCTGAGGTATACACCCGTCGTGACACACGTTACGTTGCTTGACAAGTTTGACGTCCTTTACCTGCACGTACCCTTCCTTTGCGCCCAACCACCAAAAGTCTGTTCGCATAGAGACTTGTTGTCCTGCATCCAACGGCTCGGCCTTGCCAGCCTTGCTACCTTCCATGATAGTTTGAAGCCACGCTTCCGCCACTCCGGATGCTGCGGCCTTGTAGGCCGTCGTTTTCAGAAAATCTAGCCTATCGTCGTTGGATGGTGCGTTGGCCACGTAACCGTGCAAATACCATGAAAGATCGTCGTAAATGGGAGCCCCTCCCGTTGCAGCACTCACAAGGTGGTTTTGTACGTAAAAGGCGTCCCACCAGTCCACCTGGACCAAGGTGTACCCATGCCGGGCCATGACGCTCGACAAGTGCGACAAGGAACATTGATCCCCAACCTGTTGGTAGTGAGGTTCCATAACTCCCCATCGGAAGAGCCCATCGGGTGTGGCCATTTGGTTGAACAGCAGTGGAGGAGGAAACACGAAATTGAATTCGGCTAGGATTACACGGGGTCGGTATCCCGCCTCGAGTATGATGTTTAGAACATCGCAATCCGCCGAGTCAGTGTCGTACTTTATAGCATCAAATTCCTTCGGGACCTTTGCTTCCTCGAGACTAGCCACGGCGTTGGAGTAACTCAATGGTGTGGACATCACTGTATAGCTTCCCTCGACGTATACTGATCTGTGTTCACGTATTAGCGGACCCGGCTCGAAAAGGAAGCCGTGAAAAGTAGTATTTGTGTAAAGTTGCTGGTTGCGACCGCGTACTTCATCCTTTGCGAGAGCAACGTCCGGGCGGAGCGGCAAGAGTTGGTTGGCCTCATCGCATTCAAATCGTTGACGGAGACAGCTGTCGGCCGCACCCACGTTGACAATGAAGCCATGTAGAGCTAGACCACTCTTACGTAAGCTTTCGAGGAAATCGGGTAGGGACAAGGCGGGAGTCTGCAAAGAAGGTCGTTCCGTGGCTTCGCGCGGCGCGACTCCCAACTTTTGTGAGGGCCAAACGAATCCTTCTTTTCCGAGCGGGTGTGCTATCCTCTTTGGCGGATCAGGAAGTGTTGGGATAAGGATGGGCGAGGGTAACGTTGGACAAGGAAGCGGGGGCGTTTGCTTTGCCAAGGATGTCACATTGTGACACCTCTTTCTCAGAGTGTCGTCATTGACGGTGACGGACCCATCGTTGGCGGACTTTGCCAGGATGCCCCATATTTTCGCCAAACAGAGTGCTGAAAAAAAGCCGGCGAGAAAGGCGACGACCACCGACTTCATGGTGTTTTGTGCTCAACACAGGCTCCACAGTCGGTTGCGTTTGAAGTCACAAGAGAACACCTGTCTCTCCTCCACTTTGTGACTTTGTTGTTAATAACCTGCGGGCGTTGTGAGAATGTTTTCAGTGTTAGTTGGCTTTAATACCCCCTACCACAAGCGAGTCTGGATGGTTTCATTGAAAATCACTGCAAGCTTTTATTTTATTTGCAGATTCTCAATTGTTGTTGTCAAAATTATTATGGTAGTCATTGTTCGAAGAACAGACAGACATTATGTAGTCATTTTCGTAACCAATACCGGTATACCGGTACCGGTATATCGCGTGGAATAATTTTTTTAACAGCGCATCCGCCAGTCACGGAAAGACTAGTCACGTGGAAAATGTCCAGCCTCCGACCTTAGCACTTTTGGTAGTGCGGCCATTTTCATCATAAAAACCCATCAGACCTCTTGGAGTCACCCTTTGAGCCTCCCGTATAGGGTTAATTGCTTGATTCATCCCTAGATTCTTTCACTAGCACAAAAAATAGCTAATGGTACGACATAACCAAAATACTGCAGTATTGTGCGTTATGCCAATAGTTTGGCCTTCTTGGAGGATGACAAAGGTGATTGGTGAGGCTTTGACTTGCAAGTAGTTCTTATGTGACGTATATTAGATGACAGCGCTTGGCTGTGGCGGATGTCTCACAAGGTTGGAGGGGGGGGGGGGTGAGCTCGAACAGATGCTATGTATTTTGAAGCAAACAAATGTGTTTTCATGCCAGTCTAGTCCGGCCTTCTTGAAGGACGCCAACGGTGAGCAACAGTGTTGCAGCTCGCTCGTATGGGATCAATAGGTGGCGGAGACGGGCTGCAGTGGCTGTCTCACTAGTTTGGAGAGGGCAGTCAGCTCAAAACGATGTGATGTATTTTCATTTTAGCTATAGTGTTATCATAGAAGATACTACTGAAAATGAATGCCCAAACACATGGCTATGAAATTATTCATGCGAGACCGGACCATTCAACCCGGAATTCAAATGGAATGTCATCTAAGCGCATCGCATTTGACACCTCCTGTCTCGTTTGTTGAACTTAAGCATCGTATAAGTCTCCATCCAGATCTTCGCTTCCCATCTTTTCAGTGAGGTCGATGGTGCTATCTTTGCCCAGTTTGTCCTGATCGTGGTCAGAGTTGACCATTTCGAGATGTTCGTGGACCGCGTGTTGCTTCATCATCGATATCGACTTCTGTAGCATAAGACTGCTTATTTGTGTATGGATTCCGTCCTTGTTATCCCCGAGCTCTGAATCAAATGCTGCAAGTTCTTGAATCAGCTCTGCCAAGGCTTTAGACTCATCCGTACCAGCTCCGAAAGCCACATTGTGTCGAGATATGGCTATGCTATGTCGACTCATGTCGATCAGATCTTTTCGGGGTGGATACATGAACTTCATGATTGTCAAAATGATAATCATACAAAGTTCCAACAAACAAGGAATGTAAACGGCGTAAAGCTGAAAGTAAATGGCATATGCATTCACCAACGAAGCACCAAATATGTAGATAAACTGGTACGTGTAGGAAATATCGTCAGCACATTTTGTCTTGTAGGTAAGGTAGACTTGTGGAACGAGGGAAAGGGAGATGGAGAATCCTCCAATCGTCCCAATGATTGTCATTATTTGCTCCATATCATTGGCGTCCATGGTCCTGGTTTTCGAGAGAACAAAACTACAGTACCTAATTGCTTTTGAAAAATGAGTACTGCCTATATCAACTGGCTGGTCAAGACCGTAAGGTGATGAAGCGACGACGGTTGCTACCTGCTGCCGTTGTATTTTTGTCGTGGTTTCATTTCATTTCATTTCATAAAATTACATTATATTCTGTGAGAGCCAATGGGTCGTTTTGTGCGGAGAGTTACGATTAGGAAGTGGCGTTTTACTTAGAGGTTTCCTGTTCACTTTGTTTTTCACGCGGATTTGTTGCAATTGCGGGTTGCAAGTGCAAAATCTGTTAAATGTGCATGACCAAATGGT